GTCCTGGAGTTAATTACCAAGTAACTCAATTAACTCCAGGACAAGGACAGTCGCCATCTTAAACATGAAATAATAAAAGACACAAAAATGCATAACTACATGAAAACTGAACATTTCCCATTCGTATTACATGTCCCCAGATAGCCTGGATCTGAGTGCATATTATTGGCGAATAGCGCTCAGATCCCACACACATAGTTCAATCGCCATGGAGTCAAAGTTCTTACAGTCCTTCGGTACACGAATGACTCCATGGGTGGGCTATCTGGGTTAAGTCTTTTGTGTGTTCTCAATCTCCCGAACGGCCGATGTTCGCATGCTTTCGTGGAGGCAGCCAGGCGTTCCCTTGTTTCAGCGGTGTTCGACAGAAAAAGTGTCCGTTTTCCGTTCCATAGAAATAGAGCCAAACACCGCTGAGCGTTCGCATGATTTAAAATGGCCGCTGCCTCGTGGTCGACATACGAACGACGACCACCCTGAGTTCGGTTTAATTGAGAAGTGTCTGCGGTTAACCACAACGTTATAATGGTGATCACTTCGTTAACCTGCAGCACACTCCTCACTTGGGTGGCCGTTCGTTCGGCGGTTTTGTTCGGGAAAAAGAGTCATTCGAATGGCTGGGCTATAGAAACCAGCCATTCATACGAACGGGGACAAACAGACGAACGGGCAAAAATCCAGCAGACAGATGGTTCTGTCACAGATACCTGGTGATAGGTGCGAAACGCCTGTAGGAGGTTGGGCATGGAAATCCTGGGCTGTTCCAGGAAGAAGAGCATGTCGTCCACATAGGCCGCCACTCTGTGCTCTTCGGAACCACCCTCACCCCCGTTATACCCCCGTCCTGTCTGACCGCCTCCAGAAACGGTTCAAGAGAGAGGGCAAACAGGAGAGGGGACAGGGGACAGCCCTGCCGGGTCCCATTGCAAATCAGGAAGGACTGCGTTAGGGCTCCGTTAATGCGGATCCGAGCCGTTGGGGAGGAATATAGCGCCGACACCCACGATCGTATAATTGGACCGAACCCCATATGTCGTAAGGTCTCGTCCAAAAAGACCCAGTCCACCCTGTCAAACGCCTTTTCGGCGTCCGTAGAGAGGAGGACTGTGTCTCTTCCCGAGGTCTGTGAACAATGTATGATGTTCAGGGCTCGTATCGTGTCATCCCTAGCCTCTCTACCCGGAATAAAGCCCACCTGGTCTGGGTGAATGAGATCCGGCAGGATCCGTGACACCCTCAGGGAGAGGGCTTTGGTAAATAGCTTCAGGTCAGCGTTTAGTAATGAGATTGGTCTATAGCTCGAGCAATTTGACGGATCTTTTCCGTCTTTAGGGATGACCGTGACTATCGCGGCCAGGGAGTCCGTGGGGAACCGCCCCCCGTCCTGTATGGAGTTCAGGCCCGCTAGAAGTCGGGGTAGTAGAGCGTCTCGAAATGTTCGTAGATATGTGAGGGGGAGGCCATCCGGGCCCGGGGCCCTGTGTTGTTTGGAGCGTTTCATGGCTGCGGCTAATTCCTCTAAAGTCAGGGGTGCATCAATTTCCTCCGCGAGCTCCGGGGTGAGTTTGCGAGTCACATGTTGCGTTAGATAGTCTGTGACTCTCCTGTGGTGGTTTTGGGCTTCTGTCCCCCGTATGGGCCTAGCTTGGTTGTAAAGGTCCCTGTAATAGGCCCTAAATGCTGACATAATGCCTTCAGGCAGTCTGGTGGTCTGTCCCTGTCCGGTGCGTATCTGGTGAATATGTTGGGCTCTACGCTTCTCTCGGAGCACTTGTGCCAGGAGTCGGCCGCTTTTATTTGAGTGCTCATAGAAGTGCCGAGCTGATTTCCGCATCGTGTGTAGTAATCCCTGGGATACGTGTGCTTTGAGTGCCCTGCGTGTCTCTGTAAGTCGTAGGTCTGCAATCCGTGCCGTTAGATCTAATATTTGACGAGCCCTGTCTTTCTTACGTTGTGTGCTGATAGATATAAAGTGACCCCTAATAACGCATTTATGGGCTTCCTACAGCATCAGTGGGGGCATGTCGGGTGTGTCGTTGGTATCAAAGTATTGCGTAAGCGTCTGTAATGTCTTGAGCTCTGTTAACAAGGTTTCATTAAGTTTCCATTGGCGTTCGACCGTTTTAAATAGTGGCGAGCTCATTACCACCGTGTTTGGGGCATGGTCGGACTGGTTGATAATCCCTATGGATGCATCTCGGAGAAGCGCTAGGCTCTCCTGAGGCATGAATACATAGTCTATCCTACTATATTGCCTGTATACCGACGAATAGTAGGTGAAATCTTTATCGTCAGGGTGGGCTACCCGCCAGCAGTCAACCAACCCCATGCCAGTCAGAGCACGCCGCATTGTGCATAGGCTGTGTTCCGGGACAGTGCTGGCCCCCCTGGAGGTGTCCACCCGGGGGTCCAGGGGAACGTTAAGGTCACCTGCTAATATCAGCAAGCCCGCCCTGAATTTTTCTAGTTTGGCCAGTGTTTTGGTCAGGAAGATGTGCTGTCTACGGTTAGGGCTGTAGATGCTTGCGAAGGTGTAGGTGTGGTGTGCAATGGTGCCCTTCAAGAAGATGAACCTCCCTTCAGGGTCCGTCATAGTGTCTATATGTTGGAACGGGACTGTTTGGGAGAACAGAATCGCCACTCCCGTTTTCTTAGACTCTGGGTGATTGGCGTAGTACCCCTGTGGAAAGCGGCTATTCTCAATCTTCGGACAGACCTGACCTCTAAAGTGCGTCTCCTGCAAGAGCGCCACGGACACCTTTTCCGCCCAAAGCTGGCGCAATAGTTGGGACCGCTTCTCCGGGGTGTTTAGGCCTCTCACGTTATTAGACCACACTTTGAGCCGTGCGGAAGCGAGACTCCCCCCGTCCCCTCGGAGTGGGCATCCCCCACCAGGCCCTGTCTGGGAAGGCATTATGTAGATTTCTATACGTGGGTGAGGAAGGAAAAAGGGGGTAGGGCGGAGAAGAGGGAGAGAGGGAGAAAGAAGAGGAGGAGGAGGAGAAGAAAAAAAAAAAAAAAGGGGGGAAAAGCAACAATGAACCTCGGTCGGATAGAGGTGTTCGGAAGCTGCTCGTCAGCAGTCCTACCGAACTCCGACCAGTATGTACACCACGGATCATTTGCGTGGGGTGTGAACAAGGTCACCTACGGCGCCCGTCAACGTAATGTGTGTGTGTGTCGAGTCCGTGTCCGTCTCCTGGTGCTCCCAACCCGCCAGTCATAGCGTTAAGTCGTCTCCGTCTCGTGGCGAGTCCAGGTGTGGTGGGCCTGGCTACCCCGGTCGCGCCCGCGACACCCTTCCCCCTGGGCCAGTCCCTCTTAATATGTGTGCGTTCCCTTTCTGGTCTTGCTTGACCGGTGTCAGCATTCTACCCCGTGGGCTTTATGGAGAGTGCAGGGACCGAGCCTCCCCACCGACCCCCCCGGTCATCTAGCTTCTCCGTCCAGTCCCGTCCTGCCCCGTCGGGATATCCTTCTCCACTACTCCTGTGGACGTGTGAGTCGACTAGCCCTCCCTTATCCTAAGTATTACAACATGCAACTAATGAAGAACAGTTTAACAAGTTATTATGCCCCTATCAGGCGTAAACAAGAAATCCCTCTCGCGCCCCAGGGTGCACGGTCGTCCAACCCCTCTTCAGCTCTCATCCCAGCTGGGGTCCGAGCGCAGGCCCATGGCTTTCAGGCCAGGAGGGGCGTGACGGGCGTGCATCCAACCCCCCACCACTCCTCTGGCTTCCCTGGGGTTCCCCAGCCCGTATGTTTAACCCCTTAGGAGTCCTATCTAACCTCCCCCAGACCGCGACCCCCTGGGATCAGGCCCCCCCAGCGTTCCAACCCCGTCACCCGCAGGCCTGTCAATCACCTCCTGCGTCTAGGGCCCCCCACTGTGCGGCCAGCCCTTCCTCTTATCCCTCCGTGGGCTTTCCTACCCCCTGTTCCCGACTTCTTCCTCCCCTCGCTGTGTACCGAGCCCTCCCTTCAGGACAAGACAGGCTGCTGGCAGCCAGGGGGTATGTCATTACTGGTCATGAGGGACACAGCTGTACCCCCCTCGGCCCCGACCCTACCCTGTAGCAGGTCCGTCAAACCGGGCCCCCCTCAAACCTGCTCTGCTCCTTCAGTGGCCATGCAAGGTAGTGTTGGCTGAATCCCTTATACAACCCCATTTTGACGGCCTCCGCACTTCCCGTCCCCCGCCCAAGTAGTGTTTCCCCGGGGGTACGGGTTTCACAGGGTACACTGGGGATCCATGGGCCTGGGGATAAGCTCAGTACAAACCCCGGTTGCTCAGTTTTACTGTCTCGGTAGTCTCGTGCTTGCTTAAGGGCAGGACTGCACCTTTCCCATGGTGAAGATCGTGGGGGCCCCGGGGCACCCGGCCCGGCCAAGAACCCCTTCAGGGACCCGCCTCCGGGCGCATGCTGACATCCTACTCCTCCGCGGCGCTGGGCCCATCCTGGCGTGTCGAGGAGCTCTGCTGGGCACCATCTACCAGGTTCTCGGCCGGAACTGTAGGGCACGTGGGTCTGGTCGGTGGATTGTCCAGGATCCAGTTAGGGACAGGAATCTCCGGAAAGCCCGCTGCTCGCAGGAATCTGGGCACGTCGTTAGGCCAGCGGACCGCAAGCCAGAGGTTATCCACTCTAGCCTGCAGGCTAAATGGGAATCCCCATTTATATGGGATCCGCTTTAGCTGTAGGAGGCCTGTGAGTGGCTTCAGCGCTCTTCTGGCATCGAGGGTGAGGGGAGACAGGTCGTGACACAGGGAAACATGAGAGTCCATGTAGTTGATGGTGCACAGCGTTCTAGCCGCCCTCATAATAGTTTCCTTCAGCTGAAAGGATTGGAAGCAGCATACCAAGTCCCTAGGGAGGCCATCTCTCCTTGGTGGTCGAAGTGCACGGTGGGCACGCTCTAATCCAAAATCCGGCGGTGCTTCTTCCCCCAGTATTTGCGTGAACAGGCCCTCTAGGATCTCTCTTGGTGATTCTCCTTCAGATTCCGGCAGACCTCTGACGGAGATTGTTATTGCGCCGTCCGCGGTTCTCAAGGTCCTCCACCTGGCGTCTGAGCTCCAGAAGGAGGTTAACCTGCCGCGAGGTTGCTAGGTCTGTAGCCCGTTGGTGTTGTTCTGCCTGCAGCCGTTGGACCTCCAGTTCATCTACCCGGTGTTCCAGAGCGGTGAGGTTTTGCCGAACAGCAGCTACTTCCTCCCGGATAGCTGAGCGGAGTTCAGCCACTAGTTCTTTCTTGTCCTGCCTGGTAAGCATGTTTGCTGAAATAGCCGCCAGTTCTACAGACATCTGAGTGAGGGCATCCCTCCGTGGGGAGTCTTGTGTGGAGCTCGCCCTGCTGCTCGATCCCGGCGAGCCGGGTGCCATTTTGTCGAGGCCTCGTGTGCCGGCCATACAGTGTGGGGTGGATAAGAATTCGTCCATCGGCCCCGACTGCTGAGGCATGGCGGGTTGTTGCGGGCCCGGGGTAGTCCCCCTCCTCGATTTACCCATTCAGATGGGTATGTTAGTGCTATTATCACGGGCTTTGGCAGGTTGGGGCCCAGGAGCTCTCACTACCTGCGTCCTACTCCATCGGCAGCCTAGCCATGCCCCCTGCAGCAGCAGTTTTGTCAGGGCTTTGCAGTGGGGTGTGAGCGATCTTTGTCGTGTGGAATGGGTCAGTGTGGATGAGTCTAGTCTAGGGTCAAGGACATGGTTGATGTCTCCACAGATTATGGTCATCCCTTTTTGTATCATGGTCACTTTAGTCAATATTTTTTGCAAGAAATTACGTTGGTGCTCATTCGGAGCGTACAACCAGAGTATACATCACATTATTCAACATACATGTCAAAATGAGGTATCTGCCCTGGGCATCGGTTATTTCCTGAAGTAGCTCAAAGGCTATTGATTTATGAATGTATATGGACACTCCTCTCGACTTAGTGGCATAGGTAGAGTGATATTGATTGGGAAAGTGTTTTGCTCCAAAAGTGGGTATACAGGCGGATGGGGAATCCCCAGGGGTAAGGTATGCAATGTTCCCTGAGGACCTCAGTAACCTTCTGGAACGTCTTTCTGTAGCGCAATGTGGCTGCCGATATGTCTGCGAAAACTCGGATTTTGGCGAATTCTGGCGGTAGATCTTTTGCAGTGCGACTGCTACGGAGGATCATTTCCTTCACATGGAAGTAATGAGCTTCGAGTAGTGTGTCCCTTGGTAAGGCGGCAGCAATGTGTTTGGGCTTTGGTACTCTGTGTAGGCGGTCTAGCAGCAACATATCGACCGGGATGTCCAGCAAGAGGGCCCTGAAGAAGCCATTGACAAAGGCAGGTAGGTCTGCTTCCAGCACCTCCTCCGGAACACCGCGGAGTCTCAGATTGCTGCAGCGTGATCTATCCTCTAAGTCCATAAGCTTCATCTCATGTTTAGCAAGTTGGGATTCAAGCGTTTGGAGCCTGTCAACGGCTTGCTTGTGAGCTTCCACAATGTTGTCCACCTTCATCTCCATGTGCCCTGTTCGTGTCCCCAGATCGTGTAAGTCCTGTTTGATCTCGGCCACACTTTCCTGCCAGGTGGCGATCAGCTTATTGGATTGTTTATCCAGGGCTGCGTGCAGTAGTGAGGCTGTGAGCCCCTGTTACAAACTGCCATTTGTAACTGTTATTTTATTTGACAAATTGCCCTGCTTCCCTGTGTTATGGAGAAGCCTAATTGCCAGCCTTCTGCCCCATGACTATGGACCTAGTGTGTATGGCGATTTGACTGTATTTGTGGGATCTGAGCGCTGTTTGGATATATTGAGCGCTCAGATCCAAGCCATCTGGGGATAGGTTGAATGTGGGGGTTCTGTTCAGTTCAATAGGAGTTATGTATTTTTGTGTCTTTTTGTGTCTTTTGCTAACATGTGGTTAATGGAGTCTGCCTCTATCCCTGGATAATTGGATTACTTTCCCCATTGTCCAGGATAGAGGCCTCTGTAAAACCGGTTTGGGCCAGAAAACCATGCTGCCAGCCAGGCCCCAAAAGACACTTTTGCTAACTTTTGAATCCCTTGTCTGATTTGTGCCATTTTTTAATATGTTGCTCACCTTAATGGATTGATTCCAAATATGTAATTTTTATGAAGATTGGATGTGTAGTTAGGAAGTTATAGTACATGTATAAAAACTGTATTTTTACTGTTCTGTTTTAATTATGTTATGTGATTATCTGAGGGATGGGAATTTCCCCGAATGTATATTGTTCCGATTGGTTATACTGCTAATTATGTGGGTGTCTCCCTTGCATGGGCAGAATCTCATAAAAGCAGAGTGTGTGCCATTAAACATCAGATCTTCTTGACCCTCAATACGTAGCCTTGTCTCGTTATTGGAGGGAACTGCTATATCACACTGGGGATTGCTATGCTCTGCATACTCCCCTGAGCTTTTAATCACTTAGCTCTTTTAAGATCTGTTCCTGTTACGCTCTCCTGGAGGAGAGGTCTTCCCCACACGGTCCTGGAGGACAGAAGCTGATCCAGGGTGGAAGGAAGACGGCGAGACTCCAGTTAAGCTACGGCGGTTGTGGAGTCTGCGGTGGCTGTGGTGTCGGCTGCAGTGTTTGGAGTCCTCAGGAAGCGCTAGGAGCATCCATCAACGGAGGGTACTCGGTCGGAGTACAGGGAGCTCCGTTACAGCCCCATTTCAGGCTGTGTGTCTAAGTCTGAGCGGGGACTACTCCCTCCGGAGTACCCAGCGCCATCTTGAAGGCCCGGTTCAATTTGCTGTGAAGCCGGCGTTTTTTGGGGGGCAAAAAAGTTCATCTTGTCGCCCTTGTCGGTGTGCCTCCTTGTCTTGGAGTGTGGCATGACGGCTTGTGTGGCTATCGGTCCCAGCTGTGTGCCGGATTGGGTCGGATTGCCTAGCTCGTGGTGCGGAGCTCAGAGCTCAAGAGGCCCCCAATGTTTACATTTTGCTGCAAAAAAACATCTAATAGTTACCAACCAGACTACCACTAGAGATGCTTCTGGTTAATGCTTGAAGCAGTGGAGTGACAGATCTTTACAATTACCATGCATGTCCTATAATAAGCAGCTCAATGAACAGAGATTTTGATAATCAACAATCTTACAGGTCTCACAGTAGCTGGATCTGACTTATGTGAGCAGTCGGTCTCAGCACTGGATTACAGGTAAAATGTCATGGCTTTTTAAATCTTTTTTTCTATATATAGATATATGTATATATGTATATATATATATATATGAGGGACCATGGTGTAGCCCTCAGTTAAACGTTAAATGTTGCATGTATAACAACAACCCGTTTCAGATGCCCCTCACACTGACACAAGACCTAAGGCCAAACAAGGCTGAGACCGGAAAGATCCCAGGTATGCTGGCTCCATTTTTAACAACCTCCCCCCCCCCCCCAGCTCCCTTGATGTAAATTCATACTATGTATATTATCTTGCAGCTGTTTATTTTTCACATTGGGTTGTGCATCAGATTACGCTAATCACTGGTAGCACTCACCGTTCCATCACAACTAGTTCTTGCGCCTCTGTTAGGCATACTCTGCAGTGCACAAGATAGGACCTAAGAGCCAACTTTACACTAGCCTGTTTTTGCACTTATTTACGTTTTATCTCATTAATAAAAAGTGCCGTTATCTCAAATGACATGACAAAGTCTGATGGTATAATGCTTATTACCGCTAATGTGGCCGTACAGGCTTGATTGTAATTTTATGCACGACAAAAATAAAGATTTTTTTTAAAAAGAGGGCCCTTAACTAAAAAAAGTAACACAGTGCTTAAAATATATTTATGAGATTAGAGTATTCTTTTAATAAAAATAAAGTACAATAAAAAGTACTGATGCAAGCCATATGAATGTGGATAGCTCAGTATTAAGAGTATGAGAGACCCCCATGGGCCACTATCAGTATTACTTCAGACGGTATATTTTTAACATTCTTTTAGTGCACAGTACGATTATAGTATGATTAATAAAATAGTTTGCACGGTATAATCAGATTCCTGTTTTTTTGTAAATATGTTTTTAGTATTTCTTTTGTGTTGTTCGTATGCATGAAAAAAGTTCTTTATAGTGACTCGCAGGTCATTTTGTATGGTAAAGCATATCTTGATATACAGAGACTCGCAGGTCTCGATGTGCCAATTAGCAATTACAGTCAGTCGGACACGCAGGTCCCGTTTCATACACATAGTTGTAACACAATCGAGTAACTGCAAAGAGTGGGCGAGGTTATTTACGTGTGTACCCCGTTCAGTTTTGTTAGTGTAGCCCAGTGTAATGGGGAGATAGCCCTCGTCTGGAGTTCTATGGACCCATCTTATGTGGGAGGGTTATTTCAAGGAGTGATACTTGTGAGGTGTACAGGGATGCGTGTTTAAGTCGCTGTCCCAGCAATTACCATTGAAAATAGACACCTGTGGAGGGCCGAGTACACAGCCACCATGCAGGTAATTAAGGGCTCCGGAGTCCGTGAGCCAATTTCAAAGCAACTTAGAAAGGATAACCATTTTTTGTTTTTTACATTTTATTTATTTATTTATTGTCAAAGGTATTGCCAATTTCCCGTTCACATGAGTGTGTAAAGGTTGGTGTGTCCAGGCCTCAGTCAGGTCAAATCCCTAGCCAGAAACCCCTCCCGCATCAGGGGCGCCCCCCATTGCTCCCTGGGGTTGGTTGTTCTATCAAATATTGAGCAGGAGTGTCGGGGTAGAAAGACCTCCTCTGTTCCCTCCCAGACGGGAAGCGAGCGTGGCCAACAAGCCGCGGTCCCCTAACCCACCCGGCACCCTGTCTCATATGTCAGCAAGGCTCGGAAATTGGCCTGGTAGGTGACCATCAGCCTATGAGTCCATATGTCAGCGTAAGTTTGGGCGCGACCTTGGGCCATGAGTGTCAGTTCTTCAAGTCGACTAAGCTCCTCCATTTTTTCGAACCTTAATGTCAGTGGGGGTGTCTCCTTTCTCCAGTAAAGGGGGACTACTTGTTTAGCTGTGTTTAGGATCCTAATGGACATTGATTTCTTGTATCTAGCTGTCGAGGTGGTGGTGTGATGCAGGAGAAAAGGGGATGTATGGAAGGGTGGGGGGTTGTCCGAGAATTTCTGGAGGATGGAATTGATTGCTGACCAGAAGGGTCTGATTTTAGGGCAGTCCCACCAGATATGCAAAAAGGTACCCAGTGTGGTGCGGCAGCGCCAGCAGTCTACATCCAAAGCAGGATTCATGCTCTGGAGGAGTTGAGGCATTCTGTACCAGGGCGTCAGGAATTTATACGCTGTTTCTTGTGTTTTGCTAGCTAATGCGCAGTGGTGTACTAAATCGCAGATCTTTCCCCATTGGTTTATGGTAAAGGTTTTGGCAAGTGCAACTTCCCACTTCCCCATGGAGCTGGGAGGTTCAGTTGCGTGTACAGTAAGGAGTACAAAAGAGATATGGCACG